CAAGCCGCTTCATCCGCCGAAACCGCCGCCCGAACCGCCGCTTCATAAACCCCTCGCCGCCGTTCGATGCGAGGTCGCGTCGTGCGGGAAGTGGCGCCGCGTCCCTCGGACGGTGCTGCGCGAGCTCACGCCGCACGCGCGGTGGGTGTGCGCGTTTAACGCGCACGCGCCGCTCGAGACGCGAAAGTGCGAGTGCCCGAGAGACTGGACCACGCATGCCGAACGTCTGCCGCGGCTCTGGAGAACCACCCCCGCCGGACCGCGACGTCAGACTCGCCCTCCTCCACCTCGAGGGGCATCTGCACCGCGACCCCGGAGCCGGAGCCGACGACGGGGGACGACAGCAAGTGGGATTATTGGAGACATCCCGGCGGCGGCGGCGGCGGCGGCGGCGGCGGCAGGTGCCCCGCGTGCAAAAAATCGAAAAGCGGAAAGTGTGGCACGTCGACGGCGGTGAAGAATTGCCACAACCGCGCCCCGGGGTCGGGGAAGAACGGAAAGTCCGCCGCCGCGCCCGCCGAGGAAACCACCATCGTCCGCGTGGACGCCGGGATCAGGGACGACCTCCCGCGAGGCACCGTCAGCGGGTACGCCGCGGAGGCGATGACCGCGGAGGAGGAGGACGAGCACGACGACCCCGGCCGACCGCCGAACGCGCCGCGGACGCCGCCGCCGCACCGCCCGCGCGGGAAAGCGTTCGCCGCGGTTCCCGTGGTGTGCGGCGGGATCCCCGGGGTGTTCTTACCCCGCCGCGCGATGTTTCGGTGCATGTGCACGGAAGAGCACGAGAATTGCGTCTCGAGGAGCGGCGTCGACGACGGCGTCGTGATGACGACGACGGCGTTTGAGAAGCACTGCGGCATGGAGAAGAGCAAAAACTGGAGGAATTCCGTCACGGTATTATGCGAGGGCGACAGAGTGAAAGTGGGGAACTGGCTCGACGAGGTCGGCATCGACGTCGCGCGCGGGAAAGGCGGCGGCGGGAAGTGGGGGGCCGGGAACGGACCGGGGGGAGGTGCGAAGAAGGACAAGGCGGACGGCAAGGCGGCGACGAAGCGCGAGCGACGCGGAGACTTTCGGTGGCAGCCGAAGAGACCCGGACCGTTCGCACAGCTGCCGTTGCGGCAGATCATGCGCGTCCTCGAGATCGTTCTCGACGCGCGATTCGAGTCGCAGTCGCGCGGCGGAGACGCGGCACCGAGTGCTGACGTGGAAGGTGCTGATGTGGCGAATCAAAAACACGCGTCGACGTCCGAGGAGGGCAGGCGAGAGCTCGCGCGCGCGGCGTGCGTGAGCAAGGCGTTTCACTGCGCGGCGTCCACGGTGGCGCTGACGCGCGGCGTCGCGGATTGGCGTCCGGAGGTCGAAAGGAAGCCCGAGGCGGAGGAGCGCGATCAAGCCGCCGCCGACGCGATGGAGCTGGACGGGGTGGAGACCGCGACGCGCCCGGTGAAGGTTGAGATCGACGCCGGGAGCGCGGGGGGGGAGGGCGTCGGCGTTCGGTTGACGCTCGCCGCCGCGGAGGGCGACGCTCGGCTGCCGTCCGCGGACGGCGTCGCCGCGATGGAGACGGATTCGACGGAGGAGCGGCTCGCGGAGGAGAAACGCGCGGCGCGAAGGGAGAGAGACCGCGAGCGGAGAAGAGGGGACAAGAAATTTTCAAAGACTGACGCGGATTACACCGCCACGCGGGCGCAGCTGAACATCATCGAGGACTACGTCCACAGAGGCGACCCGGACGAGGTCACGAAAGAGCGCACGGTGACGCTCGCGCCGGATCAGCCGAGATTCGAATCGTGCGGTGGAGACGCCGCGGGTGCTGACGTGGAAGGCGACGCGGCGAATCGAAGACACGTGTCGGAGAAGCACCCCGGCGAGGACGCGATCGACCGCCGCGTGAAAGTTTTCTGGCCAGAGGAAAACGCCTTCTTCTCCGGCGTCGTCACGGGCTTCGACAAAAAATCCGGGAATCACACGGTTTGTTACGACGACGGCGACGTCGAGGAGATCAACCTGAGTAAAGAGACGATGGAGTGGCTCGAGCCCGGCGGCGACCGCGTCGCCGGGGGAAAGATCACCGTCGCGGCGAACGGCGAAGTGAGCGATCCGAACCGCCCGCCCGGGTGGTGGCCCGTCCTCGGCGAGTGGCCGAAAGTCGACGGCGAGCAGAGGAGGCACAAGAAGCTCGGGGAGGAAGTCACCGAGCAGGAGACGTACGGGGTCGATTACGTCACCGCGCGAGACGTCGTCGGCGTGTTCAAGGAGGTGTTGCCGGAGTATAACGACGACGACTTGTGGCGTCTCTCCGACGATCTCATGATGCGCGTGAACGCGAGCTACGGGCCGATGTCCCCGGACGCGCCCGCGACGCAGTCGCTCGCGATGGCGTCCGAGGACCTCGCGACGGTGCTTGAACGCTCAACCGGCGGGCGTTACAGCGACGAGGAAGGGAAGGATAACGTCGCGCGCGCCAAGGCGTTGTGGAAACTGGCGCGGTACGCGCGGCAATCCCCGGAGATGTTCGCCGTGCATCGAAAAGGCTTCGGCGTCGTGTGCTCGCCCGGTTCTGCCGGCGTGAAAGCGGGCGACCTCGTCGTCGACTTCCTCGGCGAGATGTACCCGCCGTGGGCGTGGCAGGCGAAGCAAGACGCGATCAAGACGGCTCAGAAGAACCGCGGCATGCGCGAAGCCGGGCCCCCCGAGTTTTACAACATGCAGCTCGAGCGACCGCCCGGGGACGCGGAGGGGTTCTCGATCCTGTTCGTGGACGCGATGCACTACAACAACTACGCCGCGCGCCTGTCGCACAGCTGCGACCCGAACGTGGAGGTGTCGCTGAAGGCGATCGAGGGAATGTACCGCATCAACTTTTACGCGAAGAGGGACGTGAAGCCGGGCGAGGAGCTGTGTTACAACTACCACTCGTGCACGGACAGCATGAAAGAGGTCGAGGCTGCGTTTTGTCTGTGCGCCGCGCGACGATGCAGGGCGTCGTACCTCGCGTTCGTGGGCGAGCAGAGCAACGGCCACGCGCTGGCGCGATGTCACCGCGTCATCGAGCGTCACGCCGCGTTGTTGGTGGCGGGCGACGCCGTCGGCCCGCCGGCGCCGAGCGCGACGCGCGCGATGGAAGAAGTCGGGCTTCGATGCGGGCGAGGTTTGCTGCGCGACGCCCCGAACTGGCTCCTTCATTACGTCGCGTGGGCCGCGAGCTTCATGAGGGAGGAGCTCAGGGCGCTGCCGAGGGATATTCTGAACGAGCAGCGAGAGTCCGCGGCGAAGCAGGCGGCGAAGGACGGTCCAAACTCCAAGTGGCAGCCGCCGCCGTTCGGCCTCGGCGACGCGGAAATCGAGGCTTTGGCCGTGCGCGAGATTCGGCAACAAGCGATGGCGATCTGTCTGTCGAAGGTGAGGTACTTACTCGGCAGAGGGCCGGAGAAGGCGCGCATCGCGGACGCGCCGCCGCCGATGAAGCTGCTCACGGAGGCGGAGGCGGCGAGGCGCATTTTCGGCGCCGCGCGCGTCGACGGCGCGCCGTCGCTGTTGTCGTCGCTGATCGCGCTCATGGCGCCGCACGCGCGGCACGGCGAGGACGCGGTCGCGCACGCGAGGTTCGTGAGCGAGGCGGAGCAGATCGCGGAGGACGTGTGCGGGTACGACGGCGAGTGCGACGACGTCGCGGCGGCGCTTCTCGCGGCGAACGCCGCCGACGCCGCCGACGCCGCCGACGACGACGACGAATTCGACGACGACGACTCGAGACGATCCCCGGCGAAGCCTCGGTCGCCGCGAGCGCCGACGAAATCCCTCCGCGAAGGCCTCTTCTGGCTCCGCGACAGGCTCGCCGCGATGCCGCCCACGCGCGGCGCGAGGCACGACATCGCCGCTGAGTTGGTCCACTTCCACGCGCACTGCTCGCGGTACTGGGTCGTCTCGACGTCTTCGCATCACCAAGCCCTGCGCGCGGACCCGATCGAGGTTCGCGAGAACGAGGTGCACTCCTACGGCGTCGGCGCCGAGGGCGCGTCCGATCGCGTCGTCTCGAGGATCGAGAAGACGTACAAGCCCGGCACCGCGGCCGGGTCGCTGCTGACGTGGTACAAGCAGGATCAGGCGCGTTCTATACACTGGTCCCCATACGACCGCGTTCGCGTGGTGAACGCCGATCCTTAAGGACTTTGCCCGGCGTTTCTCTCCGCCCAGGGTCCCTCGCTTTCAATACCCGCCCTCGACGCCTCACAACTCCGCTTCTGACGCCTTTCAACTCCACCCCGACATCGCTTTGTATGGAATGGCGACCCTCAGGCGGACCCCGCGGGGTACGTCGCGTCGCAGCGCAAGGGCGTCGTCTCCATCCCGGACCTGTGCTGCGCGTACAGCAGCCGCCCGGAGGTGGCGGTGACGCGCGCGGGGCAGCGCGAGCGAAACGCGTGGATGCTCGCGCTGACGGAGACCCCGGAGCTGCCGTGGCCGAGCGCGACGGGGCCGTGGGGAGTGAGCAACCAGCAGAGGCTGATGGGATCGCCGATATTGGACGCGTGGATGAACGCGGTTCGGAACGGCTGGGGGGGCGAGTTCGGCGGCGTCGCGCGCGAGCGACTGAGCGAGAGGGAGAGGGCGCTCGCGCCGAGGGTGGACCCGGAGGTGTTGGAGTGGCTCTTGAACCGGCCGCAGTGGACGGTGAGGTAGGCGAGACCCCGGGCGCGGCGGGCGAGCGCCGGCGACGGAGGAGAGTCAAGGTCAAGTCGACGCGCGCAAGATTTTTACACAAAAAGATTCTTTTTCAACGCCGCCCGCCGCCGCCGCCGCCGGCGTCGTTGTGGTAGTTTTGATAACAGTACACAAAGACTGAGCTCTGACCCATCCGGGCAAAACGCGTGACCTCGCGCGAGCAAACTACGCCGGCGCCGTCGATCAGTAGTAAATCTGCCCCGCCTGGCGCGTGTCGACGCCGGACACGAGCGTGGACAGGTCCTGACCAATCTCCGGCCGCGCGTTCCACTTGTTCGCGCTCTTGTCGATCGGGAACGCCTTCAGGTACGCGTCGATGCCGCCCTCGAGCACCTTGACGTTCGTGTGACCCAGCTTGGACATGATGGCATCCGCGGCTTTGTTCGAACGGAACGTCCCGTCGTCGCACGCGATGATCATCCTGGACATGGTGTTCGGGAACTCCTGACGGATCTGCGCGAGGAAGTTCGGGTTCATGTGGATGGTACCGTCCTCGTCCATCGCCGCGAGCTGCGGAGAGCGTACGGACGCGGGGTGGAGTTGAAAGGCGTCAGTTGGCGTTGAAAGGCGTCGCGGTCGGGGATTGAAAGCGGGGGCCCAGGCGCGGGCGGAGTGGGCGGATGGATAATGGATTTGTTAAAAGTCGTCACGCGGCGCGAAAAATAGAATCAAGATGACGACGACGACGACGACGACGACGACGACGACGACGACGACGACGACGACGACGACGACGACGACGACGACGACGACGACGACGCGAGAGACGCGGGCGGGCCCGGGACGCACGACGATGTTTTTCCAGGACGACTTGTAGCCGCTCTCGCGGCACTCGTCCGGGTCGCGGATGTCGACGAGGACGAAGCCGCGGTCGAGGTGGTCCTTGACGTCCGGCACGGATACCGTCGGGGCGGCCGCCCGCGTCGTCGTCGCGACGCGGCGCGCGGCGGCGACGCGCGCGCGGGAGGAGGACACCGCGCGCGGCGCGACCGCGGCGCGGAAGGAGACGGAAGACGCGGCGGCGGCCATGATTCTTTTCTCGGCGCGCGCGGTGAGGCGTGCGTGCGGGAAGTGCGCGCGCCGAGCGGACGATTGGGGTCCGTTATGCCGCGGTGGCACGGTGTTTGGCTGAGGGTGGCCGAACGTTTTCCTACGGGCAATCAGTCAACGAGTAGTTTTCGTTCGTACGTGTACAACACGACGAATTGCTCAAATCATCGCTTCGCGCGGAACAACGCCCCGGCTCTCGGAGATCGGAGAGGTTGTTCCGCGCGCGTCTGCGTCTACCGAATGAATGTCTACCTACGCCTCTCCCTCCCCTCCCCGCCGCGAGCTCAGACCCTTCACGTACGCCTCCAGACCCTCCTCCTCGCGCGCGGCGGCGGCGACGGTCGACGCGCCGTCTCCCCCGTCCGCGTCCGTCTCAGGGCCGTTCTGATACAAGCGAATGTCGGGGTGGAGTTGAAAGGAGTCAGTCGGCGTTGAAAGGCGTCGAGGGCGGGGATTGAAAGCGAGGGGTGATGGGCGGAGAGAAACGCCGGGAGATAAAGTCCTTAAGGATCGGCGTTCACCACGCCGACGCGGTCGTATGGGAACCAGTGTATAGAACGCGCCTCGCCCTCCTCGACGTCGACCCGCTCCGCCTCCGCGAGCCCCGCGAGTCCGTCCGGCTGCTCCACGACCGCGAACGACCGTCCGCTGTGCGCCTTCATCATTCGCTCGATCTCGGCCAGCGCGGCCGCGAACGACGCGCGCTCCTCTCTCTCCGCCGCCGCTCTCTCCTCGCGCGTGATGCGACAGCAGCAGAAACAGAACAGCAGCGCGAAGACGCCGAGGACGCACCCGCCGACGATGTAGTACAGCTGGAACGGTCGCTCGCCCTTGTGCATCGACTCGTAGGGTAAGAACTCGCACCCTTCCGGTTGATCCGGCTCGTTCTCGACCGCGCCGTCGGAGTAGTCCGAGGAGCTCGGGTCCAAGCACGCGCACGGCGTGACGTTCGTCGTGTAGTTGTGCGCGCCGTCGCCCTTCGCGTCCCAGTGGATCTTCCATCGCGCGCAGCGTTTCTCCCGCGTGTTCTCCGCCGCCTCGCGTCGATTTTTGGTCCGCTCGTACTGCCACTTCGAGCTCGCCGTCCCCATGGCGCCCGAGGGCGGGGCGGCCTCGGGGGCGACGGGGTGGCCGCCCGGCGGCCTCGGGTGTGACGAGCTCCGAAGATCGATTATTCCTTTCTCGAAGTGCGTTTTCAGCAGAAGAGTCGTCACGCGCAGGACGAAGGACGAAAAAACAAAACCTCGGGAACGGCGCGTCGTCGTCGTTCGCTCAACGATATCTCTCTATCAAACCTAGCCTACGTTCTCTACGCCGCCGCGCCGCCGCGGCATCGCGACGCGCGCGATTCCCTACGCGTCGTCCAGATCTATCTCGTTCCCGTCGGTCTCGCGTTCCGCCGGAGGCGGCGGCGGCGGCGGCGCCGGCGGCGCCGGCGGAAGGGTCCTCGGCTTCAACGTTCCGAACGGTCCCTCGCGGGGTATCGCGTACGACGTGACGCCGTCCACCGCACCGACGGCGACGGTGGTCGCCACCGGCGGCGGCGGCGGCGGCGGCGGCGGCGGCGCGCCCGGCCCTGCGAACCCGCCCTTGAACCCTCCTCCTCCTCCTCCTCCTCCTCCTCCTCCGCCGCCGCCGCCGCCCGAGGCGTCGAGGGTAAACTCCAACTCGAGTAACTCCAAGAGTTCGACCGTTTGCGGGTTCCGGACGACCCCAACGGGCGCGCGGCCCTGTCCGGCGCGCCGTTTCTCCGTCGCGGGGTCGTGCGCGGGCGCGGTGGGAACGAACCGAGGGGGCGCGGCGACGCTACCGGCGGCCGCGTCCTCCCCGCCCTCCCCGCCCTCCCCCGCCGCCGCCGCCGCCGCGCGACGTCGCAACCGCTCCTCCACGAACCGTCTCGCTTCCCCTTCCCCGCTCACGACCTTTCCCGCGGGTCGAGTCGTCAGCGACTGCGCCAAATGGTTCGCTTTCACGATCGACAGCCACTCGGGGTCGAGACGAAATCCGCCGCTCGCGTCTTTCTCCGGCAGGTCCACGATTTGCATGAAGTCGCGACGCGGCAGGCACTTATCCAGCGCGAGAAACTTCGTGACCCCGCCGCCGTGGTGACGCACCATCGCCGCGAACTTGACGTGCAGATGCGCGCTGAACCAATACGACGGTTTGAGCGCGTGAAGCAGCGTCTCCCCGGGCGGCGACCCCAACGTGTTCGATCGGAGCTCGTCGGCGAGAAACTTCTTTTTGCGAATCAAGTCGTCCATCTCTCCGTGCCGCGCGACGCCTCTGGGCCAATCGTGCGACAGGAAGACGTCCACGTGCTCCTTCAGCATGGCGAGCCGCTGGACGTCGAACTCGCGGACGTGGTACGCGGTCTTCACGTCGTGTCCGGCGTACGGCGCGCGCTCGTGGTGCCCTTTCCTGTAGTCCCCGCCCTTGAAGATGCCGCTGAGTGTCGTTCCATACAAAACAAGTTCACCGGTCAGTTGAAAGGGGGCGCGATCAAATGTTGAAACCGGGCGATGGGTGAAAAACGTTTGTATAGAACGCACCTGAGTCCGCCGACGCGCAAATCTCCGAAATTAATCACCCCCGCGTGCCCCATGTAATACACGTTCGGGGCGACGTACCCTCCGTGGTACAGCTCCCAGAGGTAGTTCGACGCCTCGTGGTTCCCGCCGATGAACAGCGTCGGGTACGGCGCGACTTTCGCGCCGCTGTAGTACGAGTGGAACGTCCCAAGCTCCTTGTACTTGTTCGGCACGGACATGCACTCGACGTCGTCGACGTTCCGGATCGCTTGGAAATCGCCGCAGCATATCAGCAGGTCGATGACGATCCCCTCCGCGCGCTCCAGGTGTTTCATCGCGGCGTAGATCTTGTCGAGCTCGCCGTGGCAGCACCCCTCCACGGCGATCTTCATCGCGGGAGGAGGGGCGGGGATCTGTTGGGGAGAGGGGCGCCGACGAGAGTGATTTTGATTTTGGTTTTTCGAGACTGCTCACGCATCACGTTTCGGCGAGTCGGCGCGGGGTCGGTCGAGTCGAGCGGAAACGACGGTTCACAGACCCTCGTGTGATCGACCGCTGCGCACCGCTGAAACTGCCACGACGAGCCGCTTCCGCGCTCCCGTCCGCCTCGCGCGTCGTCTCTCGTCGTCGTCACTTCGTCCCGTCGCGCGACGCCTCGCCTCTCCACCGATGGCGGCGCTCGCTGCCCCCCGCGCGTTCGCGACGCCCTCGCGCGTCGCGTCGAGAAGCGCCGCTCCCTCGCGTCGGACGCGATCCACGCGCGCGCGCGCCAAGGCGGAGAACGTCTCCCCCGACGATCCGAAGTTCCTGGGCCGCAAGGGAACGCGCCGAGACGAGATAACGGACGAAGACGCGGACACGACCGTCGCGCGCGTCGCGGTCAAGCTCGACGGCGCGTTCGGTAAGCCCTCCGCGGCGAAGGAGACGTGGGAGCCGTTCCAACGCGCCGCGCGCGCGGGCTTGATGGACGCGTACGTCGCCGGCGGCGCGAGCGCGGCGGCGGGATCGAAGCGCGGCGACGCCTCCGCCGAAGAAGACGCCGAAGAAGCCGAAGCGGACGTCGTGCACACGTCGCTGTGCATCGCGATGGAGGACGACGCGTTCAAATCGAGGACCGCGGTGCCGCTGCCCATCGACGCGTACGTCAAGCGCGTGGATAAGCTCGTGAACGAGTTCATGCAGCGCGACTACGAGTCGCTCGTCGCCGCGGGGACGACGACGACGCGCGACGTGATCGACGCGCTCGAGGACTATCTCTACGTGCAAAATCAATACCGCGCGCCGAAAGGCTGGAGGGAGATGTACTCGCCGTACCGCACGTACTTCCACAACGTCGTCGCGCAGAAGATCGGCATCCCCGCGACGCTCGCGGCGATATACATCGGCTGCGTCGAGCGTCTCGCCGAGAGAGGCGTCTTGACGGAGGGCGTAGACGTGTGCGTTCGACCCAAAGGCGCGCGGGACTCCGCGGCGGGGGTCACGGCGCCGTCGCCGCCGTGGGGGGTGATTCGCGAGAGCGAGGAGCGGCCGTCGAACGCGGTCGTGTGCACGCCGCTGATGTCCACGAGGCTGCAGCTCAGCGCGCTGAAGCGCGCGTACTGGCCGTGGGAGTGGGACGACGCCAGAGACTCGGGGGTTTTGCTCGCGGTGGAGGCGGCGGCGTACGCGGCCGGGAACCGCATGAACACCGCCGCCGGCGTGGTCGGCATCATCCAACCCACCGGTCGGCCGTTCGGGGACCTCCCGATGGCGACGCTGGCGACCGAGCGGCTGCTCGCGCTCGACGGCGGCGTGGGGTTCGAGGCCAGGGACCTAGGCGTTTTGTTGTTCCACGACGGAAGGTACGGCGAGGCGTTGGAGCTGCTGGAGGGGTTCGAGGCGTGGAAGAGAGACGGCGGCGCCGACGCGGCGCCGATCTTCGTCGGCGACGTGGTCAACCTCGGCGGCAGCGACGCGGTGCTCGCCGCGGAGCTGCAAGTGCGAGAGGACGAGGCGTTGGATCGGCTGATGTTGATCTTGCGGAAGAGAGTGTTGGAAGAGACGATCGCGTTGGACGACGACGAAAAGAGGTCGGGGACGGTGTGAACGAACAGAACAGACGAGTCGTCGCGACGTTCCGACGCGAGCGAACACGTTCAGTACTGCGACCGCATTTTACTACTAAGTAAAAGTCGATGAACGACCCGCCGGCGACGACCGGCGCGACGCGCCGCCGCGATGACGCCGCGCGTCATCAGATCATCCTTCCTTCTCCACGTCGCGCTCCGACGTCGGCGACGTGAGGAACGCGTAGAACTCGTCCTTCCACTCCTTCTTGTCGTGATCGAGCGTCCACTCGAGCGCTTTCACCTCGTGCCCGTACCCGTCGCCGCCGTCGTCGTCGTCGTCGTCGCCGTCGCCCGTCTCCACCCCGTGCCTCTCGTCTATGTTCCGACTCCGCATGACCGCGTAGAACGTGCTCGTGCGCGTGCCCCACTTGGCGTTCTCGCCCGGCCGCACGAACGGCGACGGCGACGCCTCCATCGCGGGAGGCTCGCCGTCCTTTTCGACGTCCCACCGATCGAACTCCGCGTGGTTTCCCAACACGTCGCGAAGCAACACCGTCGGGCTCACCACGGACCACTGAAACCATGCGGGGGGCGGGATGCGATTGGTCAGTGTGTGATCAGATTCGATGACGTGGCATAACGTGTGGTGGATAACGAGCGAACGGGAGTCGCACCTCGGACTTTGCCCCGAAGACGTGCCAGGCGCGGTTCACTCGCGCCATCTCCTCCTCCATCGCCTTCTTCCCGTTTTTAGTCTTCGGCCACGGCGCGTCCAGCGCGGCGTTCGAGAGGCCGTAGATCGCCCCGCCGACGTCCTCGTCCGAGCACTCCGCGGATTGCTTCGCGGCGAGCGGCGTCGCCGTCCCGGCGTCGTCGCCGCGGTTGGAGAGGCACGCGAACTCGCCCGTCCTCGCGTCGCCCACGATGAGCGAGAACCCGTTGTACTTCTCGACGACGCCGCCATCCTCCGCCAGCGCGCGCAGAAAGTCGAGCGGGGCGTCGTCGCCGTCGAGGAACTTCACGGGCAGCTCCCCGCGCGACGGCGACGTCCCCGGAGGATGCCGCGGCGTCTCCTCGTGATAGTTGGTCACCACGGCGACGCGCCCGGTCCTCGTGATGCCCATCCACGTCCCCTTCGCGTCCTCGTCGCGGCCGGCGAGGACGTCCGCGCGGTCGGGCCAGAAGTGCATCTGCTGCGTCGGCCTGCGGAGGAGGAGAGAGGGGAGGGGAGGGGAAGGGAGGAGGAGCGTGAGTCGGACGGACGGTCCGATCGATCGACTGGATTTTTCCTCGCTGTCAACGATCGTCGTCGACGCCGCCGCGCGTCGTCGCGTCGCGTCGTCGCGCACCTCTCGTAGCTCTCGTCGCGGTTCACGGCGAGGACGAACACGTACGGGCTCTTGAGCGCGTCCTCATCGGGGTCGGGGTCGCCGAGGAACAGGAACGCGACGCACATCGTCGCGGCGCGGCGCGGGCGCGCGAGAGTGAGGCCTCGGATCCCGCCGCGCGGGGACAGCTCATCAGCGGGCGCGAGTCCGCGAGAGCGAGATCGAGCCAGGTGCGTTCTATAAAAGTTTTTTACCCATCGCTCGGTTTCAACACTTGATCGTGTCCCCTTTCAACTGACCGGTGAACTATTTTCGTATGGAACGACCCTCAGAGAAGGCCGTTTGCCCCCGGTCATCCTTAAGGCCCCCTCGACGGAGGCGCGCGCGGTCAGAGACGAGCCGCGCCCCACGCACGCGTCTCGAGCGGCGGCCTCGACGACACCTATCGCGTGACGCATCGAACGACGTCGGACGCGATGACGGTGCGTCCTCGTCCCCGACCCGTCGCGCGCGGGAGGGAGGGAGGGACCCGGGGGGACGTATCGCGCCACCCATCTCGCTCCCATTTCGGGACGCGACCGGGTTTCCGCCCCCCCCCCCTCGCGTCCCGCGCGCGTCGACGACGGCCGCGTCGCGCGTCCTCCGCGGGGTATCGCGCGGGGGCGACGAACGCTGACGCTCGATCCGCGTCGATATTCCCCGCGCGACGTCCTCGCCCGACCTCGGCTCGCGTCGCCCCGCGTCGCGAGCGATGCCGACGCGTTCGAACGCCGGACCCGCGAATTCTCACCTCAACCCATCCTCCCCCTCTGCCCCACCATCGCGCCCCCCCCCACACCAGACCGACAGCGAGCGCTACTCCTTCATCGTGGAGTACCTCGACCCGCACGCGGGGCTGACGTTCCGGTACCAGCTCCTCTTCTGGGCCGCGGACTCGTCCGTCGAGATGTACGACATCAAAAACCGCCGCTCGTTTTTAAAGAAGACGCGCGTGCCCTCGATCACGACCAAGGATTTCTTCCTCGGCGCGACGATCACGGTGTACTCCAGGCAGCTGAAGGTGGTCGAGTACGGCGACGCGCACACGGAGCGCGCGTTCGCGTCCGCGCGCCAGCGCGTCTTCGCGCTCGTCAAGCCGAACGCGATCCGATCGGCGGGGAAAATAATCCACGCCGCCGTCGCGAGCGGGTTCGTCGTCGCGGAGTGCAAGATGGCGACGATGCAGCGCGCGGACGCGGAGCGGATGTTCGGCGACCGGAACGACCGCGCGCTCGTGAACGACGCGTGCGCGGGCGCGTGCGTGGGGATCGCGCTCGTGAGCGAGGACGCGGTGGCGAAGTTCGCCGCGCTCAACGGCGAGAAGGCGCGTTCATATCTACACCGGTCCCCATACGACCGCGTCGGCGTGGTGAACGCCGATCCTTAAGGGCTTTTGCCGGCGAATCTCTCCGCCCAGGGTCCCTCGCTGCTTTCAATCCCCGCCCTCGACGTCTTTCAACTCCGCTTCTGACGCCTTTCAACTCCACCCCGACGTCGTCGCTTTACAGGGATCGACCGACCCGTCCACGCTGCACGGCGCTTTCGGCGACGCGTGCGTCGCGTCGTCCTCGGAGTCTGACGCGGAGACGCAGTGCGCGACGTTCTTCGCGCTGCCGTCCGCGGCGAAGTTTGAGAACACGTCGCTGTGCATCGTGAAGCCGCACGCGATGGCGAACCTGGGGTTGATCGTGGACGGCGTCCTCGAGGGCGGGTTCGCGGTGACCGGGATGCAGACGTTTACCCTCGATCGCGCAAACGCGTCGGAGTTTTTAGAGGTGTACAAGGGCGCGGTGCCAGAGTACAACGCGATGGTGGACGAGCTCACGTCCGGGGCGTTTTGCGCGCTGGAGGTGGCGGCGAGCGACGGCGCGGCGGACGCGGTGACGGCGTTTCGCGAGAAGGCGGGTCCCGCGGATCCGGAGATCGCGAGGGCGCTCCGCCCGGAGTCGCTGCGCGCGAGGTTCGGGTTCGACAAGGTGAGAAACGCGGTGCACTGCACGGACCTCGCGGAGGACGGCGCGCTGGAGACGACGTACTTTTTCAAGATTCTCCAGTCCGTGGCCGCGTGACGCGACGCGCGAGAGAAGAGAGGAGAGAAAGACGGGGCCGAGCCAAGGGACTAACTTATACTCTAGAAGAACGAATTCGGCATCGCCAAAGTTGTTAAATATTCATGCTTCATCACCGGAGACGCGTCCGTCGCGTCCGTCGCATCCGTCGCGTCGGTCGGTCACAAGAACCCCGGCGGAGGGTCCCACGTCGTCGCGCCCGTGTCCTTGTTCCAGTAGTACGTCTTCCCCTCGGCGTCTTTCACCGCCTGCCACGCGCCCACCTTCGCGACGACCGGGACCGGGGCGGCGGCGGCGGCGGCGGCGACGACGGCGGACGTCTTCGTCTTCGTCTTCGCGGCAGACGCCCTCTTCGCGTCGTCGTCGACGTTCGCGTTCGTAACGGCCGCCTGCGCGGCGTTTCGACCGCCGCCGCTCTCCGTCGCCGCGGCGGCCTCCGCGATGCGCCTCGCCGCCTCCGCGAGCTTCGCGGCGTCGAACCCGCCGCCGCCCTCCACCCCGGGAGGCGTCTCCGGGTTCATCCCGTTCTTCAGGCAGTGCTTCAGCCACGCGTAGTAGTCCACGCCTTCGCCGCCTGGCCACAGGAACGAAAACTCGACGCGGTTGTCCCGCTGCTTCTCGCGCGTGACGTCCTCGAACTTCTTACCGTTCTTCACGACGAACTCCGCCACCTTCTGCACGCGCTTCAGGAGCGCGGGGTCGTCCGGCTTGAGCGCGAACGGCGGTCGGTCCTCCGTCGCGCCCGAGGCGTCCGTCAAAATCGTCGAATTCGTCGTCGTCATGATCGTCGCGCGCTCGCGTCCGTCGTCGCCGCCGTCCCTCTTCCTCTTCTCGCCCGCGGCGACGTCGCCGCGACCGCCGGCGTCCTCGCCGCCGTCCCCGCCGCCGCATCCCTCCGCCTCCGCCTTCGCGCGCTGCGCCGCGGCGTACGCCTTCGCCGCCGCGGCCATCTTGTCGATGTCCACGACTTTGTCCTTCTTCGAGCGCGTCGACCCGATCGCGCTCGAGAAGCGCGTGTCGTTGCTGAACTTTTCCCTGCGGCGACGCGACGCGACGCGACGAGACGAGACGAGACGAGACGAGACGACGCCGGCGGTCAGATCGCGGCGCGGAGGGGCGTCGACGGGAGCGATCGGACGTCGAGACGCGAGGGAGCGGACGGAGGGCGCGGGCGCGAAGGACGGAAGGATGGCGACGGTGACGAGATGAGATCCGACGCGAACGAACGAAGAATCGCGACGACGCGTCGGAAACATGGGGGCGGGCGAGCGAGCGCGACGCGACGCACTTCCAGTCGACGGTCCCCTCCGCGTTCCGCGCGTTCCTCATCTGCGCCCCGGACATCATCTGCCCGTCCGGGCCGCGGACTTTCCTGTACCCGCCGACGTTCCCATCGGCGGATGCGGATCCTCCTCCCTCTCTTCCTCCTCGATCGGATCCTCGATCTCCTCCTCCTCGCGCGGCCGCGTCCGCGGCCTCGCGTCGGCCGCGGTCGAACTTGTCCATGTTCTCCCACACCTCCGCGTGCTTCCCCGTGTGCACGACCTGCCCGCGCAGGGCGTTCCACACGTCGCCGCCGCCCATCGTGGACGACGTCAGACCGCGCGCGTCGCGACACTGATCGACGACGCGCGAAATAGATTTGACACGCCGCAGAGTGTTGTTGAGAAAACACGTTCGCGTTCGAGCGCGCGGGAGAGAGGCGAAAGGCGAGACGAGACGCGTCTCATCAGCGCGTAAAGGTTAATCATCCCTCACAACGCGAAAAAAAAAACACCCTCCAAGAACGTCGCGCGCGCGCGAAACCCGCCGACGCGCGCGCCCTCCGCCGACGGAGCCTCGGCGGTCTCTAGTAGACCGCCGAGGCGCGGCCGACTACCGGCGCGACGCGAATCCCTCCATCCGCGCGCGCTCCGTTCCGTCCAAACCCCACTGTTGCAACATCACTCCGCCGTCCAACGCGATCCACGGTCGTCCCGACCAAACGGATCGCTTAGATCGCCTGGACCTGGAGCCCGGGGGGAAGGGACTGCTTCAGCTTGTCCGCCTTGTCGCCGTCCGACACGACGAGCGTGTACAGGTACTTGCTGCACCGAACCTTGAACTTCGTCTTTCCGCCCGTCTTCTTGATCTTCACGCTCTTCGCGTCCTTGCGGCGCGCGGTGAGGAGGAAGTCCTTGATCTCGTGGATTTGCTTCGGCTGCGGACGGGAGGGGAAGGGGGCGGGGAGGGTCAGCGAGGGGGAAGGGGTCGACGGACGGAGGGAGGGAGACGCGCGCGCGGGACGACGACGGGCGACGCGAGCCTCGCGAGCGAGGCTCAGGTCAAACGAAGGATGGGATGAATCCCCGCCGCGAGGGGATCGCGCGCGCGATGCGACGTCGTCGTCGATTCCGCGACGCCGCGCGTCGCGTCGCGTCGAGGAGGGCCTCGACGACGACGACGGCGCGAGACATCGCGTCGGAATCGACGCGCGGGGCGTCGCGCGTCGCGTTCCCGGTCGACGCGTCCGCGGAGAAAAACCCTAAGCGCGCGCGATGCGCGAGATTTCGCGACGGAAACGACGCCGCGGCGGCGCGACGGTGCCGCGCGCGCGCGACGCGCGCGCGCGCGGCGGCGGCGAGCGTGTTCGAGAGACGCACCATCGTGTCCGAGCGAGCTAACGCGGCACCCGGTGTCGTCGGTAAAGGGCGAGCGAAGGCAGCGGCTACGGCTTTTGTCGCTTGCGAGGTGAAAGTGTGATGCGCGCCGCGCGCCAACGCCCTGTATGTAGTACTGTTTCATCGTACTCGCGTATGAGCAAACAGTAAGGGAAGAGACAGGATTCCTCGGTCTTCGGTCGGTGATTCGCGAGCATCTCGGTCGAACACCAGTTCTCGAGACGCGCGACGACGGGAACGATGAGTTGCGCGACGTGCGGCCGAAGCGTCGGCCTGTGCTCGTGCCCGCCCGGGGAGGACGAGGTCGGGGAGGGCCCGATACGACGACGACGACGCGCGACGCGCTCGTCGGACGCGCCGACGCCTCCGCGGCATCCCGCGGAAGCGGAGCACCTCGGCGCGAGGCTCGGGCGCGAGGACGCGGCGGTCCCGTCGCTGGAATCGCTCGCGCCGTTCGCGGACTACGACCGCCGCCGAGCGGTCGAGAAGCGCTGGGAGCTCGAGGCGAAGGCGAAGCTCGGTCTGTGCGGCCGCGGCGCGGACGCGATCCCGGGAGCGGGCGCGGGGCGCAGATTCTGGGTCGGAGGCGCGGTGGAGTTCGCCGCGGGGGGGACGCGCGGGCGGACGATGCACGACGCCGCGAAGGCGGGCGACGCGAGCGCGGTCGCGCGGAGGCTCTCGCGGGGGGAGCATCCGGACCAGGGCGATTTCTTAGCGCAGACGTGTCTCATGCTCGCCGCCGCGGAGGGGTGCGCGCCTCTCGGACGTCGGATGGATTCGTAACGGCTTTTTCTCGCGAGAAGGACAAAAATGATAACTCACAGTCCGGGAAGAACGAACGAACGAACGAATCGACTCACCCTCCTCGGTCCCCCTTCTTCCCTCGCACTTCTCTCCGCAGGCACGTCGACGTCGTCGCGGCGTTATTCGACGGCGGCGCGGCGCCGAACGCGAGGGACATAAACGAACGCACGGCGCTGCACCACGCGGCGATGCTCAACGCCGGCGGCGGCGTCGGCGAGGAGGTGCGTTCTATACACTGGTCCCCATACGACCGCGTTGGCGATGTGGACGCCGATCCTTAAGGACTTTCGCCGGCGTGTCTCTCCGCCCACCCCTCCCTTTGAATACCCGCCCTCGGCGCCTTTCAACTCCAACTGACGCCTTTCAACTCCACCCCGACTTTCGCTCGTATGGAACGACCCTGAGGAGGACGAGGGCGATAAGCGCGCCGAAGCCGTCGAACGCCGCGCGGTGATAACCGCCACGATCGACGCGTTACGTCGCGGCGGGTGCGACGTGAACGCGAGAGATGAGCTCGGTTCGACGCCGCTGCACGTCGCGAGCGAGCGCGGGCACGTGACGCTCGCGCGCGCGCTGTTACGGCGCGGCGCGGACGCCTCCGCGAAGGACGCGCGAGGACGCACCGCGTTGGACGTGTCGTGGAAGACGCAGCTGTCGCCGCTCATCGCGCTCTTGTCGGACGCGACGCCGAAACCGAAACCGTTCGGGGTCCCCGACGACGAGAACCGACGAAACGGCGGGAAGCTGTGCGTTAAGGGCGCGGCGAAACCGCCGCCGTACGAGGCGCCGTTCGAGTACCCCCCGCCGGAGATGAAGGATTTTCATGCGAGCGGGGGCGGCGGCGTGTGCGCGTGCGGGAGAAGGCGCGAGAAGTGCGCGTGCGCGGCGCGCATAGGACGCCGCGACGCGGAGAAGAAGAAGAAGGACGATAGCAGCGCTAGCGCGGCGAATAAGGGCGAGATGCCGCGCGGGGAAGACGCTACGCCTCCCGGGTACTACTGGCGCGGCGGCCGCGTGTTCGAAGGCGCCGGCGGCGCCGCGCGCGGCGGGAACATCCACGAAGACGCCTCGCGCGGCGACGCGGACGCCGTTCGCGCGCGCGTCGAGAACGGCGAGGCCGTCGACCAGCGCGACCACGCGATGACGACGCCGCTGGCGCTCGCGTCCGCCAACGGTCACGCGGAATGCGTCGGCGTGTTGTTGCGTCGCGGCGCCGCCGTCGACGCCGGCGACGGCGGCGGCGCGACGCCGCTGCACCGCGCGTGTCTCGGCGGGCATCTCGACGTCGTCGAGCTGCTTCTGACGCACGGCGCGCGGAGCGGACGCGTGGACGACATGGGGC